CTTCTTCTTCTTCTTCTTCTTCTTCTTCTTCTTCTTCTTCTTCTTCTTCTGTTTGGATAAGAAGCTAAACATCTTCAGGCAAAACAAAGGAAGTCCAGTTGCCTTTTGAAAAATAACTTTGGGGGTGTCTGGTTATTAATGCAAGGAAGAAGAGGAAATATTATAGGATGGGTTTTATTCAAAGTAATGCTTAATTTGGGATGCTTGGTGGATTTGGCTGAAGGGTGCTTCACAGCAAAACCCACTGAAGTTATTTTTAGAAATGTAGACTAAGCAGAGCTCAGTTCTATATTTGGATGCCAAAGGTCATACTTGGAATGTATTTAAATCAAGCCTGTCCATCATTTCCATTCCATTTGTGTTTGGCAAGACATCATGTCTTTCCTTCTCTTTCAATTTAATGTCTTGGTTACTAATTGCAGTTGCCTAGTTGTCATTCCCAGCTGCAAAATCATTGCTAACTTCATCAAGAGTATTTGACATAATGTTGGGGTCCTGAAAGCTTTCTTCCGTTGTCCCAACCTGGCAATGTTTAGATAGGATGGCTCCCTTTCAAGGGATGGCTGCTAAAGGCCATTCTGAGTTTGGGCAGTAGCAAACCTATTATCCAAAGCACCTGAAGAACAGAACAGGAAGAATGGATGGAAACTAATCAAGGAGAGAAGCAACCCAGAATTAAGGAGAAATTTCCTGACAGTGAAGACAATTAATCAGGGGAACGATTTGCTTCCAGAAATTGTTGGTGCTCCATCACTGGAGGTTTTTAAGAAGAGATTGGAAAATCATTTGTCTGAAATGGTATAGGGTCTCCGACTTGTGCAGGGGATTGGACTAGAAGACCTCCAAAATCCCTTCCAATTCTGTTATTCTGTTAAAAGCAAAAAAATCTTGACTGACATAGACCTCCTGGAAGCTATGTCTGCAAACCTAACTAGTTAGTGATGAAAAATGAAAGATGGCCAGTAAGATATGAGAGAAGCAATTCTATTGTGAGAACTCTCACAACAAGGGAATAGAGGTAGGAAAAGTCTAGGGCAAACTACTTCAATGCTATCACCAAGGAAGCTACTCATGTATGGACATTCTCATGTGGTGATCAATAGTCAATCTCTGCACAAAAGAAGCTTTAGATTTCTGCCTTACTACCAGCAGGGAAGACATATGTCCTCCACTCAGTTCTCAAAACTCTTAATTAGTCTTGATTTTAATTGTTCTAGGATTTTAGAAAGGTGAGCCACTCAAGAGTTGCTTGGTTGAGTAAGGCTGCTGTGGAAAGGGAATGGACAAACAAATAGTCATTGATTATGGTGCAGTCCCTTCATTGGCCTCTAGGATGCTTCCAAACTTAGAACATAAAAAATCTGGAATCCAAAATGTATAATCAAATCCTTCCTTTCCTGATGTCAATTATTCCCAGCTCTATCAGGAGATGCTACCACTTAATCGTCAATATGATCTTTCCAAAATTTTTCAATACTTTTCCCCAGCAAAATCCATGGATGCATATGGATGCTACTACATATATTCTTCTGAGTTTTTCTTCTGAGTTTCCATTTTCTTTTCTTGGGAATAAAGAGTGTTGTTTCTTCCATCGCTTCCTTTCCACCCTTAAAATTGAATGAGTGCAGAAGATTGCTCTGACTCCTTGTCTTTGCATCAAGGGCAAAGATGCCCCTTATCTACTACATGGCTCCCAGCTATAGTAAATGCTCAAATGAAGCTCAGCAGCCAACCGGTGTGATACCCACTGCAAATAGAGTAGATTAAAAGGCGTTAACTGTTCTCTAACATCGTGGTGTGAAATTTCTTCAGGGTACCACTACAGCTGAGTCAAAGTTGCAAGAAAGGGAACAACTTCTTGTTGGTCCATTGGCTTTGAAAATAACTCTGGGGAGCACTTAGAAAAATCTGTCATTTATAACCTGAGCAATGGTCATGGAGATCAGTGTATTTCCGGAGTAGTTGACTGTATCTCCATAAAAAAGATTTTTGTCTTTTAACAACTGGGGAACAAGGTCAGAGTCATGAATGGCATAGCTTCTGTATCTTGGCTATTTAAATTCTTACACCAGCTTTCTCATAAATTGAGGTTTTTCAAATGTGTTGGGATCACAGATCCAATAATTCCCAGCCAACACAATCTTTATACACTTGTGTGGCAGATTTGTGTTTATGAAAGACTTCACTCTGTGGATGAATCCATTACTGGGAAAAGCTACCTGTTCTGACCTCGGCTTCCCCCAAAAGCACTAAGCCGACTCTTTGTCCCAGCAAAACCCCTTTTATTAAATGAAGGTGAATTTCTTACATTCACCTTCAGCCAAAGGCTTGGCCAACAATCTTTCAAGGGTGTAATTAGGAGCACAGACCTTATCTAGCCTGGAGAGCTGCCAGGTAAACATTTCCAAATACAGTGCTGACAAGGAAGGACTCAGCAGAGAGACTCTGAGATGCAAAGACAGATCTTCACACTGCAACAAACAAATTGTTCCTGCAGAAAAATCCTCCCCGTTTACTCCTCTTTTAATCCCTATGGGAGGGGCCATTCACCATCCACCTGTGGCCTTATTCCCATGTCAACCATTAGTTTCTAATTGTTCTTTTCTTTTGGCAGCTCTGCGCATGTGCAGGGTGGGAAACAGCTCCAGCTGCTCCTCCGCCTCACTGCTGTCTGACTCTGAAGGCAGCTGATAATTGCCAGCCCGCCCTGGCCCCATCTCTGCCTCTGATGCAGAGCCCTCGTCCGAGACTTCATCAGCCTCCAGGACTGGCCCAGGTTCCTCCCCAACCTCGTCACTGTCTGACTCTGCTGCCAGCTCTGCTAGCTGGTGGGCTACAACACTATCTGATCTTACTTCTCTGTGTTCCTCATCAACTCTTTTATAAAATGTTAGAGAGACTTGATCCACGATCATGAGAGATCCCTTGAAACTATTCTGCAGAAAATTATCCTTGCAAGTTTTGGGGTGACAACACACAGTTCAATGTGTTTACATGCATAAAACAATTTATTTAAAAAAAAAACTTGCTCCAAAGCAAACATCTCTGAATCAAATGGACAACCTCAATATGAGGCAGAAGAAAATATTGTTCAGAACAAGAGGTACATCATGGAATCACCTCCAAAAGTTCTGGAGAGCTTTGAAGGCACATTTCATCGTCTTTGATTCTTTGAACAAAAGCATGAAAACAACAAAACTCTATCAGCAAGGCAGTTTCAGCCCAGAGCATAAAGTGAGCTTGTATTAAACTAAAAAGTCTTTTTTTCCCCCTTATCAAAGTATCTGATTCAAAGATTAGAATATCAAAAGACAGGGATTTGATTCTCTGAACTGAAAAGTTATTTTGCTTGGGATTTGTTTGATAATTCTTGTTGAACCTGTGCTTCGAGCCAACTTTTATTTCCATGTCAATATCACTGCTTCAAGTCCTCTTAGACCAAGGATCTTCAGCAGAGGTGGTTATTCAGCCGGTTCTGGCCAGTTGTGGAGAACTGGTAGCAGAAATTTTGAATAGTTTGGAGATCTGACAAATCCCACCTCTGACTGGCCCCGCCCCCATCTATTCTTCGCCTTCCATTGAGTCCCAGCTGATTGGCTGGGTCTTCTTTGGTTGCCCTGCACAGGAGAACGGAGCTGGAAAGCAGGTTAGTAGGCTGGGGAGGAAAGGGAAGGGGGATTTTGCAGTATATCCTTCCCCTGCCATGCTCACGAGGCCATGCTGTTACCATGCCATACTATTGCCCTGCCCACCAAACCACACACCCCATCTATTCTCTGCCTCCCAAGTCCCAGTTGATTAGCTGGGTGTCCTTTGGTTGCATTGCACAAGAGAACAGAGCTGGAAAGCAGGTTAGTGGTGTGGGAGGGAATGGAGATTTTGCAGTAACCTTCCCCTGCCACACCCACTAAGCCACACCCACCAAGCCACAGAACCAGTAGTAAAAAAAAATTGAATCCCACCACTGGTGTTCAGCCTAGACAATTGTAAGACCTGTGGACTTCAACTCCCAGAATTCCCCATGGCTGATTAGGGTATTCTGGGAGTTGAAGTCCACAAGACTTGAAGTTGCCAAGGTTTAATACCCATGTTTCAGACACTCACATGGAACAAAGAGCCAAGTTTCAACAATTGTCCCAAAAGACAATTGGAACTGGCTTAATGATGAGCACTATAATTCAATTCCTGTCTTCTTGAATTGAATCCAGAGCAGAATATGCCAGAACATTATTGTTTTAAATGAAGGATGTTGTTTTTTTTATTAAAAGAAACCTGAATATTGCTAGTTAGCTTGAATAAAACTAAATTCAGTTTGTATGAGAAATGTGGTTGTCTGATTGCCTTTTTTTTTTTCAAAAATTGGGTACATGGCAACTGTCTGGATTTGATTTCAGGGGAAAACAAGATTAGACCTCTTGATGGCTTACAAGAGGATGTAAATCGAGTCAGATGGAATAAAGGCAATTGTGCATGGCTTTCCTCTTGATCAAAATCTGATTTACACAATGGCTGCCTCCCTTAATATGTAGACAGTTGAAGGTGGAAGAATCGAAGGTGTTCTGTAAAGTCACAAATGTATGCATTGGAGCTCAGGTGCTGCATAGCAAAAGAAGTAAAACTTCACCTCCACCCCAGAGTAGATGATGTTTAAATTCCAGTTCCATAATAAAATGGAGCAAGAACCATATTTCATTCTCCTGATCGTTGATATATGTTCCCCTCCAGGGGAAACTCTTTGGAGTTGCAGTGTCAACCTCCATGGCTATTTTTGGACATTTATTTCAAATGTTTCCCTTTAAATATGCCTCCTATGCCAGTGGTATGGACCAGAGGTGGTATCCAGCAGGTTTTGATCAGTTCTGGAGAACCAGTAGTGGAAATTTTGAGTAGTTTGGAAAAGCAGAAAATCCCAACTCTGACTGGCCCCACCAACCCCATCTCTTCTCTGCCTCCCATTGAGTCCCAGCTGGGTCTTCTTT